TACCGTTATGAGTGTGTTACGGTGATGAGCGTGGTAGCCTAAATATATAAAGAGAAACAGCCCTTGTTAGGAACCCTTCCTTGAAAAAAGACTATTCACAAGAATTTATCGGCTCCTATCCTGCAAAATTAAGTGCCTTTTACTGCTTTAAAACGGCTTCATTTACACTCCTCAGCGTCTTCTAGTATAGATTTAATATTTCGCTAAATTCATTCTCATCCCTTCACTCACAGTAATGCAGAGGAAGCTCATCTGTCCGCAGAAAACCTGAGCTCACCTACCTGCCTTATTTGCCAGAAAAAAAAGTCAAACCATGAAATTCGTACTGAAGATACTGTTGAGTAGAATTTAGCCCATTGGTCCGAACAAGTGTGTTGAAATAATAAATAGGAAACCGGTTAAGAAACGGTCCCAGACATGAAATACTTCGGGATAAGTACTGCCCGACTACATCAGGAACTTTAGACTTCAAGAACTTCCTGCCTTAGAGTAAGCTGGACTGCTTAAGATGGAGATGACATTTCACTCGAGCACGTGGAACAGTTGTATTAACCCAAGAACACCACTTTCTCCAGAATAACAGGAGAAATCCCTCCTCTCAACTGACCGGTCCACGATTGTGCAAGAAACACAAATCGTGGGCATGATCTACTGTCGTGACCATTGTCGGTGGAAGAAAATACTACTGGATGTTTTTGAGCTTAGTTACTCAGCAGTTTTAGTCAAAGTCAGATGGTGTTACGCCCACAACCTAATTTCACGTATGACGAAGCCATTATCCATATCGTTCACTATCCTTCAACTATGCTAATCAGTCTACACTCAGGGAAAAGCACTGTGGTTGGAGAGCGTATCGCTGGCGCATACCGCTGATCGTACCAGAATCTGGACTTCAGGTGTCCCATATGTGAGGTAAGGACGTTACTGCCACCCCACAAGCAATACTCAATTCACCTGTATTATCACGGCCAGAAAATGTCTGTACATGACCAAGGTATCCGCTCAGAACGCAGATGGACGACCTAGTAACTGTCCAGGCTGGGGACGTTATCTTTTAGGAGGCATAAACTCCATGCCGTGCAATTGCATAACGCTCGATGAACCCAGACCGAATACTGGGTGGCACGAGGAACGAATTGCCACAGGCCTCCCAGCAANCCAACGACTGCGGTGCTTACATATCAGAAAGGCGGTGCTATGGTGAAAAATTGTAGAACACCTTCAACCTAAGCTAAAACGAGTTTGATTATAACTTCTAAACCTAACTTTCAAAGAAGTGTGCCTAGACGATCCACGCCACCTTCCGGATTATAACCAGAACGAGGTGTATGTATAAGAACCACCATTCCATGAAGGAAAAGTTGTTGTGATCGTCTTCTTTCAGTGGAATAATGCATCGTTTTGCTTTGCTCTTCAAAGGAATCATCTGCTATGTTAGTTGAACGCACTCCCCATGATGATTGCGAAAAACAGTACATAGACTACATTGAATAGCTTTCGTCCACTCAAATGTATATGCCGAAGTATTCGCAAGTGCCTCCAACGAGTAAATTTCTATCTTTTTTAGATGGACTTTAGAAATAGCACCATTCATACACGCCTTCATGAAATCAGTTCATTTACCTGAATGGGCTTTCCAGGGATCACCAACATGGCTCAGCATAAACAAAAACGATTTTTTACCCTTTACGAAAGCGCTTTTTTGGGAACTTTTCGGTGCCTTGTTTTGGAAATAATATTAGAGATGAGTCTTCGAGAAACACACTCAAATCAATTTGGTTTTCACGAGGGACTCAACTGAATCCTCGTTTATGGATATTCTACAACTGAAAGTGCTGCACACAGGCCGCCTCATGTTTCAGTTGGCACGGTACTCGAGATATCGCAGTATATTTTCATAAAGAAAACTACTCACAAGGTTCCTGAAAACTCTTCGACAGCCCACGACCAAATTGATTTACAAATGAGTGTATTTCTCGAAAACAGTGCAATTCGGGTTCAAGTAGATCATAAGGTTGACGGAAACTCGGGGACTGCGCCTACCTGATGAGCCCCAAGAAAGGGGAAACCCGGTCGTGGGCTGTCGAAGAGTTTTCAGCAACCTTGTGTGTAGTTTCCTTTATGATGAGATGAGTCTCGTTCACTTTTTGGAAGCACTCTGTTTGTGGGCACATTGTTGAAGTCTAGCGTTGTATGTGAGTTGTGCACGCATCAGGACAGTTGGACAGTGCTAGGTGACAATCGCAGTTTACTTGATAGTTAACTGTGTATCACCTTGGCATATTAGGGTCACATGTTTATGCGCTGTTAGCTGTCGAAACATTGACAGCTAAACTTAAGCTGACGCCAGATCAAACGCCATGCAAAAAATCTTAGCGACACTCCATCAGAATCGAAAACAGGAAGTGTTATAATAGATTTTCCGATTCCACTCTTGGATCCGAGCAAACAGGGGTTTATTCGACTGACTTCTCGTTGGAGAGATGCGTTGATGTAGACCTAATTCGCAAGTAGATGACACGTAATAAATTCAAGATGCTTTTGTATGTTTTCAACAAAATCTCGTTAAGCTGAGGAACCTCTGATTCGTTCTGGTGAACTATACGAATGGTGGGAAAGTTCGGTTCAAATAAAGTTCAAAAGAACTGAAACTGTTTACACCATTTTAGAAGTATAGCGATCAAATAATCCCAACGGCCGGTAGACGGTATGAAATTGGAAGGAAGAGTTTAGCATGTTGCATTCCGTGAAACCATTGTGGAAAAATGAGTCGGAATCTCTGCCAACCTGGATTAGTTCAGCATCAACGGCTACCAAAACTAAGCACCCAGGTTCAAACCCCGTTTAGACAACTCTGTCATTCATATGCGGCATTCTTCAGAGTCTTGTTGAGCCCCAAGAGAAGCAGTTTCTTACGAAGATATATTTAATGGTTCTAAAGACTGAGCGTGTTTCATGGATGATGAGAATTGAGAGAAACACTGAAGTTTTCATCACCGATTTCTTTTTTTATTAAAGATACACGTAATCAATATGCATACAGAAAAGCCAGCAACAAGATATCGAGAGACTCCACAATAATCATGTCCCAAAATAATCCCCCTGTGGGCTGTAAAGTGAAGACAGTCGGTGGAGAAGAGAACGCCTTACAAAAATACCATAGATTCCTTGAAAGAATACCACTCGTACGATTGCTGAGAACTCTTCAACACCAAGTTAATTAGCAAATCAGTGTGTAATCTGACACTTTCGTGCAATTTGGTGTTAAGGTGTAACACAAGTTTAACGATGTCTAACTGAAGAGCCCCAAGAAGAGCGAAGCTGGTCGTTGGTTGTCAAAGTACTTTAAGCAACCCAATGACTAGTGTTCTACTAATGAGATGAATTGTGATATTTGGAATATTGTACCAAGAGGAACAAAAGTTGACCCTTGTTCAGTAAATTCAGTAGAGAAATGTCACAAACGAGGACCACAGCTGGGATTCAGTTGAGATTCCTGTCAACACCATGTTAATTTGTAAGAATTTGACAACGAGTACCATTAAGTTTACGAGGCTGAAACAAAGCTTCAGGTTGATTTGTGACACCTGTCATCTGTTGGACCCACTTGGATTCAAAAGACCGACGGAAAAGCTATAAGGAGAACTCCTGCCATCGAGGTTTATACGAGATCCAAAGCCGTGACTAACTGGGAGACAAATGTCCTACGGACTTCGAGTTTGTGGGAACATGTGTTCAGTCAGTTTTGTTAAAAAGCAGACAGATTCATTTGAATTTTGGTAAAAAGTACCTAAATCGTCCAGGCTTCCCCCTGTTGATAAACTAGGGTATTTTACATCCCACAGAACACCTATATTTGTGACGGCAACTAGTGAAGCACCAGCAATGGAACGACGAATCGCTGTGAGTTCAACAGCGCTACAGGATCCTGAAAGTTTTTCAGTTGAGTCAATCCGTGCCGAGGCAGTTAGGCAAGTTATCCGAATCTTTGTGACTAGGTTTGTTGGTCAATGGGTAATCTAACCGTACAACATCTACTCGCTAGTGGCCAGGTAGTAAGGTGCGCCGAAGTGAGATTCACATAATTTCATGTTGCGATTGGCAGGAAGGACGAAATTCGATTCCCCCAACCACCACTACACCCCGTTTAACACTACAGCAAGAAGCCAGGACGACGAAAACAGTCTACGTAGCGCCTTGTACGATCTCCGTCTCCAAGCAATAACCAAAACCCAAAACACAAAAAACAACTAGAAAATGACAGAATGCTTGCCAGTCGGAAAGTTTACCAGTCTCCTGAATCCTGGGAGCAGGAGAGGAGAGTTACGCAAATTTCAGCCTGAAAGCACTCAGCTGAATGATGCCCGTTTCCACAACACGAACTGTCAACCGCAAGTAATTTACCATCGTGTGGTGTTAGATGTTTGTTTGTTGACAAAAGCAAATTTTCATGTTCCGTAATTGAACGAAATAGAAATTGCGACCAATTACACCCCAAGTGAGAAAATAACGTCACTCTCAGAAAAAATATTCGGCGAAAATACGGACAGTGCTCTCGAAACTGTACAAGTATAAGTTAACCGTCGTCCACATCTGCCAACTTCGATCAGTCCTGGCGCGTTAGTCGAGGAATGCGAGTTTTTCCCACCAGATTGTTTGGGTTTATGTCGCCTGTAGTTATTTCCAGTGATGCGGATTAGGTTTCTGCACATCCCTATTTGAATGGCGCTCAGCTAACCGTAAGAAAATGTACCAGCCTAGTGTACACAATCCATCACCTCATACTTCCCTCAAAGGGCCTGCAATATGCATGAAAAGTGATGCCAAAAGAACCTGAAATTCTGCGCAAGGAAGCCTGGTGCCTTTATAGGTCTGTAGTGTAAGAGGATGAGGACAGAAATATCTACATTTCTACTTCTCCCTTGGACAAGGCCAAAAAAATTCTGGTTAAAATCAGGCTTGGAAAATGGTTACTATAAGCTGTGGAGTTTTTGACTCACTAGCAAGCAGCCGTCTCCAGTACACTGATGTAAACGCATTTGTCCGCATTGTAACAGTAGTTTTCAAAACGCCCACTGCAGTCTTCGTAGGGGTTTCCACCGAATTTATTCATCCCAAATGGTATTGCCGGTACGGTCAGATCGATCGACAGGAACTGCGATAGGTGTGGGGCTTTTTGAGGAGATACTGAAGGTGCTGCATGTTGCTCATTTACTGGAGCTGTGGCCTGTAGTCTGACCGTTTCCACATTAGTCCTTTCTGTCACAGAATCGTAGGTGCTAAGAATTGTGGTCGCCATGGAGTTGTCGATCGAGGCTACTGGGTCTGATGGGGACAGTTCAAGGGGATGAGTTTCGCTTTGGACACCAGAAGTTGTCTGTTGTTTTGAGTCAGTTAGCTGCGGAGAATGTGGCGCATCTCGCGTTTCAGATTCCACCACCATACTACCTTCACGCGAAGACAGTGGAGGTTTGTTTTTTCTGGACAAAGCTTCTGAAAGCACTTTTTGACTGACGCGTTCCATGTTGAATTTATTGGTGTCACCAAAGTTAGAGAACTGTGGATGACTACCTTCTTCGTCTTTTTTAGAGCTTGCATGATCTAGGTTGGTAACATCAGCGTCAGCAGTGTTTACTAACAGAGCGTCTGAGAGGCGTAGTGCATCATCCTGCACTGATAAATCACGTGTGGGCACACCCTTACTCTCAGTGTGAGTAAATTCTTCTGGTGACGCCCCGGTCCCATCGCTGAGTGGATTCGATGATTCCGTTTCCCCATCCATCCTGCCTGAATCAAGAATTGGCTCAGAGTCCTGAACAGAGCGCCGAGCACGCTTCTTGTGGGAAGGTCGGATATGGGGAAATATATGTGGGTGTAGATGATGTGTGAAGAGTTGGATTTTATAAATGCAAGCATCGGTCGAGCAATTGTATCGCGACCGAATATTACGTTCTTCGCGGACGAGTTGTAGCAGATGCTGTAACCAATCAGACTGGGTTTGTATTACGCGCATGTACTCGGCAAATGTTCGTTTTACGATGTTTTCAATAAATGCGTATGTGATTGGTTTGTTCTCAGTCTTTTCCATCGGTTGAGCCTCGTCGAAAGATTCGTCCACTGACTGGTCAAAGCTAACAACTGAACGGGGAAATAGTCGCTTGTTAGAAGCCTGACCTGTTACGTTTGGAGAGTCTTCGCTGGGTGAACTGTGTGCGGTATACGTAGTCATTACAAGAAGTAAGAATGCACATTCAACCCGAAACATTGTTCGTAAAATGACAAAACGAGTGAATGAAGAATAACCCGAAAATCCACCCAGATTACATTACCACTTCGTACTGTATTTTCCGACTGTCACAAAACTGACTGACATACATGCTATGTGTGATCAGTTTCATTGTTTATCTCAATTTTACACCGCATAAATCTGTTCAAGGTGAGCCTGATGACCGGCTGACCAATCAGCCGCACATCCCAGCCACAAAGAATCGACCAATAGGTCCACAGTTTCGCGGCCGTCCACGGTTCACGTGAACTGGACTTTGCGTACGAGTCGTAGGCGGAAAAATTGAGGTCAAAAAGAACAAATAAACAAGTGAACAAATGTGTTGTTTACAACAAAGGTTTGTTTGGGATTTTGGACACACAAATGTGTTTAGCGCGTGAACCAATGGGTGGCTTATCTTGTTGGTCCTGTACCATTAATACCAAGCACTCTCGCTACCTCGACCTGGTCAATAAAATTCCCAGAATGATGTAGTACACACATGGCCATTCATTACCTCGTTCTTCGTCTGTGTGTAGCGTAATCTGGGTGCCATGCCACCATGGGTGTTCAAAGTATAAGATAAATGTGCGCTGAGCAAGCACGAAATTCAGCCACTGCGTAGCAAACGGCCACACAGTACAAAACTGCTGCCTATGGACAGTGTGAAGCGTAAACACGATCAAGAACGTGAAATCTTAAGGTGCACGGAGACATTACTTGTACACGGACACACATGCATCAGAAAGTATTAAGCAGCTACACACCAAGTAGATTCACTGGTAACCAACAAAACAAGACAATAAACCCGTAGAACCCACATTGTATGCGGTTCCGTTTGACGTGTGACTTTCATCTTTTTAACCCTCAGTCCACATTCTTCTTCTGAATTGCGCGAACTGTGACTCCACAGACAATGTGTGTATGTGCTTCCGTTCGAATGCACGTGTGTATGTGTGCGAAAGGGCGGCGCATACGCCTTAAAAACAAATGTCTGAGTGACCCTCGGTTTGCAGCCACTTCACGGTGCGTAACAGCCGAAACTATTTGGCAAATGGAAAAAGATTATGCACTCTCTCCTTCCAAAAAAAGTAATCGGAAGGTGCATTTTTAACTTTAATGATAAGGATTCAAAAATGCTACCTACTTGTGGAGCCGTGTGTCCTACCAGCCGGTGAAATACTGTAACCGGTATTCATGAGGTTGCACGAGATATCTTTCTAATAACAAAGAGTGGAGGATAACCTGGTGGAGAACTGCCAGGTAGTTCTCAAAGATTTTTCGCTGAAAGGCTTCCAAGATAACCACACGTGTTAAAACGAATGATATTAGTACCATTGTGCTACTCATTAGCCGAACTGGAGAATATTCTAAGAAGACCAAAGTATCTATTCGGCGGGCTATCGCTAGTGAAGCCGCACTGTGACGACTTTTTTGCTAGCTAGTCAACTCAAGTAAGTTTTCGGGCTGCTTCAGTCAAATTTTCTTTTTGCCCACACTGGTTTATAGTTACCTAATTTGAACAGGTTGAACCCACCTTTACTGACGCACGAAAACAAGTCGTTTGACTGGAGGGTTTATCCATACATATCCATACATAAAGCCATAACAATAACAGCCTGCAAGCGCGTCCTTTAAATTGTTATCATTTTTATCATTCGCGAAACGGTATGTTAGAATATCAAAGCTAGATACAGAGCAAAACCACGAGGAATCTCATATGAATACAGATACACAGTTTAACAACACTGTTCAACATTCAGGCTCTTTTACTCAAGATTCTTCACTTACGTTGGTCTCATATTATTTTTTGTGAGGACACCAGAATTATGTTTGCGAATCAGCTGTTTCAAACGGTAAGGATGAGGAATTAGTTATTCTGAATCAGGAAGTAAAAAAGACCAAATGCAGCTTCGTCCCAAAATAGCTGAGTTACTTTTAGCGCTCAACAACGCTACCACCAGTGCAAGGAGGAACGCTTGGTTCGTTGGTAAGCACGAACTATGTGATTACAATCCATTAGACACGATACCTCATCTGCACAGGGTTTTTGGAAAGCAAAGACTCTGAAGCGTCCTACAGAACTTCTCCGGACTTTCTTTGAATATTAAACACCAATAAACGAACACTGCAGAGCGGTACACAATTTCCGTAGTAGCGTCCACCTTCTATCGAATGCGGGGGTGAAGCTTGGATACCGGACCAGATGCCACTCGTAAGTTTCATCAGTGTCATACACCATTACACCGGGACATTCACTTTACTGAACAATCTTAGAGACATCCAGTCTACGTGGTTGAATATGCCTGAATTCAGTTGCAAAACTCATTTCCACTGTTCCTATTAAGTACGATCTCGATAAAATAATTTATGCACTACTCATAAAATTTCTCTGGGGGCTCATCAAGTAGGTATAAACTCCGAGCTTCCCTCGATCTTATGCTTTACTTAAACACCATTTGTAAGCTGTCGAAGCTTTTTCAGCAAACATGTAAGTAGTGCATTGTGTCAAGAAATCAAACTTCTATATCACGAATGTCATGTCAACTGAAACGTGAAGCGGCACTTGTGCAACACTTTCGGTTGGGGAGTGTTATAAACGAGAAGTTCAATTATAGTCCCTCTCTGACATTGCCGTCACGTTACTTTGGATGGGGGATGTAAAATAAAATTTGGCAAAAGAATCACAGATATGGACGTACGACCATGCACGTACCAAGTCAGCTGTGTCCTCGGTTCTTATTCGGGAGCCAAGCACATTAAGCTATTGGCGCAGTGCATAACGAAGGAGCTATTCCTGACAGACCACATTACTTAGCGTCCCTGTCCATTAAAAGCCGCCTTTCGATTGGGTGTGGAAACCCTTCTAACCATCTATCAATTTATTAAAACTCTCCTACTGACAATGAACTGTCCCAATGACTTAGGTGAACATAAGCAAGCCGCACAATTCCTTCAAGTTCCTCGTCTCCTCGGCCCTCAGTTGCAAACGAACGAAAACTTTGACTACAGATATCATGGTGATTTCTGAAATACCTTATCCTCAACTTATTTTACCCTTTTGATTTCCCGCAAAATGTTATCGATTCTAAAGGGGGAATTGTGAAAAACTGGCAACTGGTAGGGCCAGAAAATAAAACCCGCTGAACACGCACAGAAAGCTGGTGAAAAAGGCTGGATGCAACTATCGATGGTCAGTCGAATAAGTTCCGATAGCCACAATATTCTTCCACTTTTCGATCATCAGGTGCTTGTAACATAGAGTTGTCGAATAACCCATTCTGCTCCGATTTAACAAAACAGGTTAGTTACTGGCAGTTTTCCGAGGCGACCTTTGCGTTGCACGCTCTGAAACATTCTCCTTGAACATGCAAACCACCTGACCCTCAACAAAGCAACTCCGAACGCACACGCCGGCAACCCTGTAGATCAGCTAATGCTTTTCGCATGTGACGCCCAGTTCATTCAACTTTGCCGGCAACTTGACCTCAAACCTAGTGATCGTCTAAATATTTACTGTGCTGTTGGGTGTGTTGATCAAACGCAGAACATTGGGTTGTTTACGACGCTGCGTTTGTTTATCCGCGGTACTTCTACCGCAGATCTTTTCAATGTGCCTTCTGGATATAGTAAATTGCTAAACATGTGCGCACGGTGCTTCCTGGTCGCTGAAATCTTTTATCAGCCTCACAATAATGGACAGCGTACAAGTGTTTGGAAGGAAAACGATAGTGTGAATTTTGAAAACATTGGTTGGAAGGTGGTTCTGGAAGTCCCGTTGAAGTTGTCAGTTCGTTTGTATTCGCTTTCACTGCGCTACTGTTTAAGGTTGCAAACATTCCACCATTGGGCAAATCGTCGACGGTGTGCGTACGCACGAATACTACGTCTACTCACTGGTTGATGGTTTCTCTCACAACTGATGGCCCGGGGGATGCACACTCACTGGTATGCTGACTGACCTTTGTCTGTCCCTACAATAAGTCCTGTCTCTTAGTCGGTCGATCTGATGTTTTTTACCAGCTAACCATTCTGACTCAATTGTTGATCCCTATCTTGCAGTCACACTTGGATTGGGCCAATTTCAATAGCTCGGTTGAGTGAATTTGTTGCAGAACACCGGTGTGACCTCCATATTGGCAGTGTTTCGATGCTGGACAATTCTGTTTGCAAATAACTGACTACAGTGCCTGCGCTGGCCCGCCCGCTTTTCTACCGGTAATCCAGACGCACTGGCACGCTCCAGTAGCCGTAGTGGGTTGGTGCCAGCAGTTGCTTGTGTGAGCATTGTCACTGGTGTGTAGATGTTTTAAGTAAGACCTGGTTACAACGGCCATGTAAAAGTTGCTTTACTGGCGGATTAGCAAAGTCAACTTTGCTGACCACATGCATCTGATCTAAACAAAATTTTCTTGTGCTTTTGTATGGGTTCATTGGCGCTTTTACAGCTTCCTTGTCTTGCAGCAAACCACTTTGTCATGGTAATTCTCCTCTGCGGGGCTTTATCAAAAAAATCGTTTATACTACTTATTACGGGTTGCTTTTTGTGACAGAAAACCAATAACTCCACAAATGCAATTAGTGAAGTCCGCAACACAAACAAAACTTTGGAATAGTCAGACGGGTGGATTAGTGGGTTGAGCCGAAAGTTGTCTTGGATACCAAACAGGCCAACCTGGCTACCACTGCTTTTTCTCATTTATGTGGGGGTCATCGTGTCAATAGGAAAGTGTCTGAGTGAAGTAGAGGAAGGCTGCCAAAGTTTGCACATGTTCGTATGGTTGACACCAGAATTATGAGTATGGAATTTATGACAGTTGCTCAAATCTTCCTAGTTCACGAGATATGAAGAGCGAGTAAAACTCGTTGATAAAAAAAACAAACAAAATGTAAAGCAAGACAAAAAGAAGGAATTATTACATTAACTGGTTCACAGTTAGACAAAATTTTCTTGTGCTTTTGTATGGGTTCATTGGCGCTTTTACAGCTTCCTTGTCTTGCAGCAAACCACTTTGTCATGGTAATTCTCCTCTGCGGGGCTTTATCAAAAAAATCGTTTATACTACTTATTACGGGTTGCTTTTTGTGACAGAAAACCAATAACTCCACAAATGCAATTAGTGAAGTCCGCAACACAAACAAAACTTTGGAATAGTCAGACGGGTGGATTAGTGGGTTGAGCCGAAAGTTGTCTTGGATACCAAACAGGCCAACCTGGCTACCACTGCTTTTTCTCATTTATGTGGGGGTCATCGTGTCAATAGGAAAGTGTCTGAGTGAAGTAGAGGAAGGCTGCCAAAGTTTGCACATGTTCGTATGGTTGACACCAGAATTATGAGTATGGAATTTATGACAGTTGCTCAAATCTTCCTAGTTCACGAGATATGAAGAGCGAGTAAAACTCGTTGATAAAAAAAACAAACAAAATGTAAAGCAAGACAAAAAGAAGGAATTATTACATTAACTGGTGTCACAGTTAGGAGACCTGAAAAAACCCAGTGTAGTCGATCCGATTGTGACATTTTCAAAGCAACACCAGGTAGTTGATCAGTGGAAATTCAACGAACTGTAATGTCCGTTTTGTGGTAGCTTGTACGATCAAGGTCCGATCGCGGTGTAAGATGACAAACAAAACTCCTGGCAAACATTAAATGACCGTATCCGAGGTGAAGCCAATACCGCGGCATATTCTTTCGAACATGAAGAATAAGATAGTTCATCCTGTGGAGCAGACACTTCAACCGTTTGAACAATATGTTTTATAAAGCGCACAAAAGTGAAACATTATCCAAACCATACGCAAATGTTATCGTTTAATAAAAAGTGTTTTTACTGTTGCTCTACTGGTATTCGGTACATCCTGGGGAAACTTGTGCACCGTAGCTTGTGTTCATTAAGCCCTACATGAAACTAACTAGCTGCGGCCTGGTTTATTACTTTGATGAACGAAAGCAGAAGTACTCAGAGAAAATGGAGTGGATTTACAGGCATTTAGACACGGAATACGCCAGAACTCATGATATGAACTTCATCTTTGGTTTCTTGCGTGTTTTTGTCCTCTACGCACGCATGTCATCATCGCCGTTCATATCCAAATAACTCCCAGTACAGGTGACATCATAATTCCAAATTGATATCGACAGATGACAAAAAACCTAAAGTCATTCCAAAATTATCCGCCACTCGAAAACCCACTTTCGACATTGGCTTCTTTAGTTACTGGGATATTCTGTAGATAGCTTGCAACGAAACCAATACTATATTCTCCATGTCTTTTTTTTAAGTGGAATTTGACCGTGCAGTAGCCGAGATGGGATACAACTGACATCTGTTTTGAAAACGAAGACCACTTACTGTGGTCTGACTTATAACGTTTATTCATCAGTGTCTGCAGGACACAGCAATCTGTAGTTTTCCGCAGACATTTTGCAATGAAGTTGTGTGGTTGACAACGAGTAAGAGTAGCTCCGAAAGCAGGTAAAACTCCTTATGCAGCATGCATGCCATTCCGACCTCTACTGCAGTGAGCGTTGCCTTCTGTTCGAAACTGGTCGCGGTGGAACATGTCACCGAAACAGACCCAAACACGGCACAGCGAAATGAAACCGGCTACGCCGTGTTGTGCGACATTTGGGCCTTTCTGCCTGGAATCCAAGTGACTCTGCTCGCGAACGATTTGAAACGCTTCAGCACATGGAACTTAACCAATCTCGGTGGTGGAAAGGACAGCATGCCTAGAGAGTTTCACCGAGCACCGGGATTGTGTCGGCATGAATTCGTAAAGGCTGCTAGGTTGATCCTACTGTAGTGTAGTTACGAGAGTCGACATAATGCCCAAATGTGCTCGAATGTGTGGGAATACTGTCTCCTCTGGTTTACCCTGATGACGTTTGTCTTTTTTACACTCTTCTCTTCATTCAACTTCTTAATGAAGCGTTATTCCCTTGGTGTTGTACGATAGCTAAGCACTAACGTCTAACTTTGGTGCACTGCTAGTGATTGGGGTTCTGCCTCCACTAACACACAACTCACCGCCTGGCTGATGATGCATATAACCATATCTAAAATGGGCTTTCTGCTTTTCGGATTGGGGATCCGCAACAGTAGCATTGGAAAGAAAGAGCTTGTCCTTCACAATGTAAGGGTGAGCTCAAACTCGGTTAGCAAAGTTGGGATTGCAATTTAAATATGGCTTTTTTCAGCTAGTTTTGAACGGCTCGGAAGTTGTCGATGCTTCCTAATGCCTCATGAAGTTACTTTGTTGTTACTTCTGTCGTTTCAGTTTTTGTTTTGTTGTTTCTGTATTTTTCGAAGTGTTCCCTTCCCCTACACCTAGAAAATCATGGCGCTCCTTAAAGTGACTTTTCTATAGAAAACAAATTCTGTAGACTTCTGGTAAGAAAATATGCTGTTTCCTCCATTGTAGTGGATTCACTTTGGGGATCTTCATTGAAAGGGGTTTTTAGGACCGTCTACCTACTGTCAAGCCGAAATTGAGGCCAAATGAGTATAAGACTTGCGATCCTGCTGGCATATTGAAGGAAGATTGTGACGAAATTGATGCTGAATGCATTGATATGAAGATCATTTTGTTGAGGTGTATTCAAGTGAAACGCGCCTACTCCCTGCAGTTTCGGCCGACGCCCGCGAAATTTGGCAAGGAAATGGAGGTCTGTATGATGTAACGTCTCTTCGCAACCCGACACTCTCACCCATGTTCTTTATCAGTTTTCCAAAAACTAACATAACTCTAGAGGTACATTCTGGCGGTACGTAAGCCTTAATTTGTTTTAGGCTGAAGAGTATCCAAAACACCACGCCTATGGCAAGTGCTGAAGGGTCATTTGAGCTGTTTGTCACAACCTCATAAATCCTGATGAAAAGCCCAAATGCAATTGTCTGGTTGCAGAGCACAAGAAGTCAACCAGAAATGCGAATGGGAGCATCTTGTTTCATCTTACAGACAGCCAAGAGTTGGTTCGGAAACACCGATTTGTGAGGGTCTACCACGAATGCACTTCGATCAGGATTTTATTGGCTCTCTTACCAATTCGTCAACCTGAATATCCACCAGTTGATACTGGATAAATTAGTCCGATCATATAATTAGGGTGACATTAGTCTATTTCAAACTTAGCATTCAAATGTGCATCCAAAGAATTTGTTTGAGAAACACGGGTGCTGGGTGACGGGTGCCAAGAGATGGCGGTTTACGAAAGAACTGTGGAGGTGGTCAGTTACCACCATTAACACTTCACCATGAACGCTTATTTCAACTGATTTTAGAGCTGCGAAGTTAGTGTGTATTATCACATCTTACGGTGGTTTTGCCAGGCAGTCACACCTGGAGATGCATTCTGAAGCCAATACCACAAGCACAGTCATCGTATACATCAAACGGGATGATCAATAGGAATGATCATAGGAATGAGACTGATGAGAACAATGACAATGGGGCGCCGATGATGTATCAATCACGGTCCAAAGCGTTTCTAAACTGAAAACCGCACCGCTGGACTTCTGATATACTAGCCCAGGAGCATTCCCTGAGCCTCAGGATCACTACTCTACTCTCCATGATAACCTTAAAGTCCTGGCCCATTTTTAAACACTATTTTGCCAAGATAACGACACTAGTTTTACTGACAGAGTACGAACGAAACATGATGAGGCATAGAAGTTCATTAATTCACCGCGATGGTTGTCAGTCAGGGATGGCCTGGCTACCTGGGAGGTAACTGCAACTACCTCGGTTCACCAAATAGCAATCCGCTCCAACCAACAAAAGTAGTCCCTGATAAACGAAGTGGCTGTTAAGCTCGTATGCATCAAGCTACGCCGCGGAGATTAAATTACCCACCATACGGGAAGCGACATCATGAAACAAAGGATTACGTTCAAACACTCGATTATTCGTTCTGTTTTTCTCAACAGATACACATTTCCCTTAGTCCAGGAGTTAGGGACATCGGAGTCAACCGTAGCAAGCGGAAGTTCAAGTGAAGTTCAATTCCACTTTTATTTGTAGTATCAAATGAGACATTTTGGCTATACTATGAGCCTCTCGAACTAACAAACGCGGCAACACAGCACAACAAGCAAAATTTGACTTGCCTCTACCGATGGTTCTTTTTTCCGCGACTTTTGTCCCTGATTTCATGGTTCGCCGTGCCATTTTCCAAACCGACTGTCACTAGTCAACACAACAGTCATGTGACAGCCTTAGTTCCTTATAAAAATATACTTGACTGATTGGTGAATTCTCCCCAAAATAGCTCACGGAGGCTGGAGGAACTAACAGGAAATGGAACGAAATATCAATAAAGCAGTCTAATTTTTCAAAAGCCAGTAGAATTGTTTCCCACTCCGAATTATTTCTAAGCAAGACGTGATAACAACCAAGTTGAAAGCTTGCAAGATGAAGCAAAGGAACTTGAATTCACTGACGTCGTACGCACACGAAAGGTAGACGACCGTCTAGTGTTGACGTTAAAAACTTAAACGATCAAATCCTGTCACATTCATCTGGTTAGTCAAAACTGGGAATTGATGCGTAGTGGGGTGCTTTTCAAGGGTCACCCGCTTCCCCTATATGACTGTCACTCTCACTTTAATATGAAGTCATCTTAGCCTAGATCAAATTCGTCGGAAAAAGCCGGACCTTAGATTGATTTAACATTCTTCAGACTAGGAAGTGTTTTCAATTGAATAGATGACCATGCGGCCAATGGTCAATAACCCCACTCCTCAGTAAGCCTCCGCGCATACTGTAGCAAGATGCAAGCTGATTAATGTTGGCAGCACTAAGGCAAACTTGTTGGTGTTAAAATCTGCATACGTTGTTCCATAAGGCTTTATCATGGATTGAAAATATTTCATAAGGTTGCTTAATTTGTCCAAGCTGCGCATCTTCAAAAATGATCCACAATGCTTCTCTGATCACCAAACCAAAGACCTATTTGAGATGAATAGGAAATACAGCAGCTGGTTGTGTTCGCAGTATCCCTCTTGTATTTGTCTCGCTTGAAAGAATAAACTAATGTTACCCTTTCCTTAAGTAATCCGCACTGATCCCTCATCTTAAATGTCTGCTATCGTCCGATTCGCCAGAATACCAGCCAGGCTGATTACACGTTAATTTTCTGCTTTCTATCAGTTTGCATCTCCTTCCGTGGCACACATGTGGTCCCTTGCATGATCATCACCCGAACGGATTAGATGAGAAAGTATACGTCACAGATCTTGTCCACTAAGTTTGAACAGTTCAGCGGGCAATCAGTCACCTCCACAGATCTATCCGTTTTATATTCAAGAAATTGTTGTTTATGATCCTTCTATCTTTTAAGGCTCATCTGTATCGTCCCTATCTGTACGTTTCGGTATATGATTCAGCTGGTCCCATTATCTTTCCGACGGGCTGTCGAGTGATGCGCAGAAACGAAGCTTTCAAACAATCGAGAATCTCTCTGGTAAACAACTGACTGTTCAAGAATAGGATGTTCTTGTTAGGGGACTAAACTTGAATCTTGAAGACGCCACCAATCTGGAGTTCTTGGCCAGCCTGGAGGCAGCAGTGAAATCCGCCGAACTAGATGAGAATGTTCAACAACAACTCCATCAAACTGTTGTACCGGCCATCACACGAAACAGAGCTCTCAGCCTTCTCTCAAACAAGGAAAAGGAAGTATTGAAGAATTTGAGGGAAAATGAGACCATCATCATCACACCTGCGGACAAAGGACGCATGACCGGTATCATGGACAAATTGGACTATGTAGACAAAGCAACTGCTCTGCTCAACGACACCACCACGTATTGCCGTCTGGAGGACGACCAAACCAAAAAAGTTGCGAACGAAATCAATGAAAACCCGAAGCGACTGAAGGACCCCCAAAAGCTCACAACTGAAGAATATTGGCGAATGAGAGCCATATAATCCAATGCCCCACGTTACAAGGAGAACACACCACTAGAGCCAACTGTGGCACTTCCAGGCACAACCTTGCAAATGAACTATGGGTCAAGTATCTCATCAGTGGATAGCAACACTCGGTTAAAAACGCACAACAATTCTGGGATAAGCTAAAGAACGTGCCAATAGAGGAGGACAAAACAATGGTCTCATTTGATGTCAGCTCACTGTTCACATCAGTGGATCTCCATTCCACAAGGACAACAGTCGCTGAACTACTGGACAGTCATGGACCTCCCAGCGGGTCTCTAAGAAAACAAGAAACCTGCGAACCGCTCAGCCTCTGTTTGATCACGTGCTTCGAATTCAACGGTAAATACCACGAACAACTAAAAGGAACACCAATGAGATCCCCAATTTCAGTGTTTATCGCCGAGAGTACAGCGCAAAAACTGGAGAGGATTGTGTTACCAGATAGCAACTCAAAACAGTGGATACATTACGTAAACGATACCTTTGTCAGCATCAAAAAGAGCGAACTACAACGAACAATCCAAATAACAAACATGACACCATGTTCACGATGTAAGAAGAAAACAACAACAAGCTGGCGGTTTTAGATGTCCTCGTCACAAGGTTGCCAAATGGACAAATGCAAACGAAAGTCTACAGAAAGGCTACGCACACGGATCAAATTCTGAACTACCCTAGCAACCATCCAAACTGCCACAAACAAAACTGCCTTCGGAACCAATTCAAACAAATTGAAACACACTGCACCACAGTAAAATCCAAGGCAAAAGAAGAGAAACTCTTATACAAAATCTTTCAAAGTAATGGTTACCCGAGGAATTTCATCTGAAGCTCTCTGAGAGAATGCCATTTAACCAACTTGGCAACTGGAAGCGCAAGCAAAGCAACCACACTACCATACACAAAAACATTTCGGAGATGACTGCAAGGATAATTCGACAGCATGCCGTAAGAGTTGCCCACATACTGACTGACGCGCTGCGAAGAGGACTATCAAAACCAAAGGAGATACTTAACGCACTGGAGAAGACAAATGTAATCTACAAAATTAAATGCAAGTATTGTGAAAAACGCTACATGGGACAAACAGGGAGGGGACTATCAACAAGAGTCAACGAAAACAAGCTCATCACTAGGAAACACGACCAACCCTCGCTCATCTCTGCACACGAAGATGGGGAAGGACACAAATTCGATTGGAATGACGTCAGCATCCTGGGCCAAGGAAGAGCAAAGAAAGAACGCGAGTTCATGGAGCCTTGGTGCTCTACTGATGTAGCATTGAGATTGATCCTGTTTATCAACCTCTGAGGACAAAGGAAATCCAGAACCATAAAACCCGGAGCCGAACAGGGATTCAAAGAAGAAATCAATAGAACTAAAAACTATTAAAATGGAAGGTACGCCACCAACCAGTGGAAGAACAGGGAAGCCGAACACGACGTAACACAGATCACGAACGGAGCAACCGGAAGAGGTAATAATGGACAGCATTTTCAACAGCAGCGTGGCCTCAGCAAGAAGAAAATACAAACCACAACGCAACACAGATAATTATCGTACCAACCAGGATCCGAGTGCAATGATTGTCAATGACCAACCAGGTTACATCTCAAAAGCTGCTCTTTGTTAACTGTATAAATGCAAGCACCAAGAAATGGATACCTACCCAACAGTGCACTGAAGATGTCTCCTCGAATGGTGACGAAACGCTTGCAGACCAATCGCCAAGCTCGGCGAACAGATCAACAGTCACTGATCAAATATCAGCCTTCAAACAGCTAAAATATTCTCAGGTTTGTGGGCTACTGACCAGTGAGGATTCCATGAGTTTGGAATCCACAAACACATTTCAGTGCTCTAATGAACTCTTCATGGAGACGGCGATCTGAGAACGACTGGATTTCTTCAACGCGTTTTATCTAACGTCCATTCTTCCACTTACGAAATCTTTCGGTGAGGTTACTACCTGCTGTATGGTATTCATTGTGATTAGAGTTATTTTTATCAAACCAGCCGCTTTTGGCGGATTTAATATTTCATCTTCAGCTCAATTTCATGCATTTGCCTTTTCCTTTTAGTTCCTTCTTCGTCCACTGATTCCCGTAGATTTGCTTCTGCCAGTCTAACTGCCATTCAACTCCTGAAATTCCATTGAGCATGGCGAGTTTCTCAATTTCCTGACATCCAGCACCATGGATCACCTCTGGGTGCCACGACGGTGTTGTCTTCTCGCATTCAGCGACATGAATGTTTTTTGGTGAGGGGAACGTGAAGTCAGTTTGTCGGGAACAACATGATATCCGTGTCGACTACTCATACTGCCCCTAAGAGCTCTTCAAAACCGGTTGCAACTTTTGCTCTGGGGCTCGTTAGGTAGTGCAGTCCGCAAGTTTCCGTCAACTCTATGTTCTATTTGAGTAGAAATTTCACGCTCATTTGCACACAAACTTGGTTTCTACGGGTGACTTACCTGAATAATAGCTCACTGTAAACTAAATACCCATTGGAAAGTAGCTGTGTCTGGATAACAGCACAGGGGAATCCAAACCATCCACTGTTTGTTTACATACTTCGAAATTCACAGAATACAATAAGCGAGGGTATATATAGTAACTCCCATCATGAAGCTGTGATGATGGTAGCTCGAACCTGAATTTTATGAAGTAAGCTGGTCATATCCATGGGAGCCGACCTCCCCTAAGTCGAGACCTGTGAGATGAATCCTGAATTTGGCATTTCTCGATAACCTGCAGTTGTCCCAACAAAAAATACACACACTGTACCCGTGACGCAAACTACCGCCTCCACAAAGACCAGGATACGTGTTTAACGAAGTGACGTTTAAGTGTTAGTCCCAAATTGGGTACCTCCACCAGATGATCGGGTGCCCATGACATGAATTTTATCCGCGTGGCGCACAGCTACCGCAGTTTATCCGTCTGCAAGAAGCGTCTTTCGTTTGATACCACTTGTGGGGACTTCTTCGAGGATTGTTCAAGTGGTTAGTTTACACCTGGAAGGAACTGATTATCGAAAGCGGTCACTTTTTTGTGAGCCGTTGCGGGTGGTTTTTAAAAGTACAACCGTGCACCTGCCCTATTTTGAAAGACCACTTCAAATGGACCAACAGAAGGCGGTCTCTGCGAGCTGGACTGTTCTGAAAGAAAATCCACGGCCACTGAATTCCATGAAAATGGACAAATAAAAGCTCACGATAGAGACTTTAACCTCTGAAGACCACTATACCACAGAACCCCAAACTAGAACAAAGCCTGATGCACATCGATTCCATCACCTACCAAATTGGGGATTGGACAGCTCACTACTAGAACCATCTCCCACTGGACTGACCCCAAAGGTGGGGTAGAAACACAAAGTGAGTTTGTGTACAACTATGGTGCCATTACTATTAAAGTTTGTAAAGTGAAGACTTCTTGGCGTAGGTCCATCAATTTAACACGCTAACAATGTCCATGGGTGATAAAGGAATTTTTATAAGAGGGTTTCGTTATTCTGTGGGTGTTGTAAAGGATGGTATCGACAATATTACACTAGGTTTAGTGTATCGCTGTATTACTATCAGAAGTTGAGGCAGTTTTGAACGTAACTTCTCGATCACCTTGCACGTTCTAACGCTCTGGCAATGAGGTCTATTTCACTCGATGATCTTTTTCAGTTGCGGCCGCATATCTTTCAGTTCATGTCCTCCCTGAATCTGGGGTGATTTGCAATAAATAGGGATGGAAAATGAATTGTAAAGGAGTACACAGGCATGAGGAGGCAGAGATTACCCTCGAACCTGATTCTGGAATAGCCAACAAATCATCGATCCGGAGAACCGAGTGAACAAGACTACGGACTACCCGGGTTCGGTCGCCACATGGACGATAATAATCTGTGCACATTTTTTATAAAAAACAAAGAAGTATGAAGAAAAACTTTATAATCTGATCATAATTAGGCTATGAACAACAACAGGTATGCGACCGCTGCCTTCTTTGTCTTGCTCATTACGACTAGCTGGGCACAAAGATTTCTATCGATCTGTTTTAATGCTGACCATGACGAAAGAAGTTTTCTACATCACGATTGCTTACACATCTCTCCACTGAAGAGCTGCTGCACTCTTGTCAAAGCATACAGTATGCACTCCTAAATTACGGTCTTCCGGCTCTTGAAATGCTCAAATTGTTTATTTCAACGCACCTTACTATAGGCCTTCTTGTCCTGCTATCTAGTTGAACTTTTCAACGGCGTGAATTTCTCCATATAGTGCGGTCGGATTAGACAAACAAATGCGACACCTGCATGCTGCATTGTCAGCAGCAGTGAATGACACATTGGATGCTGTCTGGTACTGTGGCCTTGAAAATCGGTTTCATCTAACTGGGCGGGTTCGTGAAGTGTTCAGACATACACGTCCGGCCCACGTCACTAAGACTAAACCGCGGACAAATTTTACGTGAGTACAGTACCGCGAGAAACTCCCGTCAAGGGCACAAATGAAGGATAAACGGAATATCCCTAGGTACTGTCTCCCCCTTATTGAGGCGTTTTACCGCCTGTCTGTCGCTTTTTCTCTGCTGTCCACTGTACCCAGTAAATTGTGTTGGATACTGTTGTCTTAGCTCTTAAGACTGCATGCCCTGAGAAGACCTTACGTAAAACATATTCGTTAAAGTATCTTTTTCGTATTTTGAATAGGATTTTCCGGAATACGCAGATGTAGCAAGTGAAGTGTTCTCATTGGACGTCCTTATTTCTATTTGCATTTCATAGTTTGCATTCGGGAAAGGCATGGATGTAGGGTCTGTAGATGACACGAAAGAGTTCAACCAAATCATACGATGACATTATATCGATCCCAGGCTCTGCACTGGTATTCAACACTGTTGATATTGTCCTTGTCTGTTCTGGAACCACTGAATACTTGAAGTCCTGTGGTATTGGCTGTGAGTAGCTCCTCACATCAGTGTTACCGTTCTTAC